GGCATCCAGCAGCCCTAACCGACCAGAGTAGAATGCAAGCCATTATCAGTCCCATGAACGAAATTGTTTAAAGTTAAAGGTTTGATATTTTGCTTTATGTACCCCAGCTATCACAAACAAACAATAATCCTTAATGTCTATTGATAAATCATTCCATATTCTCATAAACCTTCCAGGAATGGAGTTTAGCATAGCTGAATCTCTATTTGCCTTTCAGTGAATAAACATGACGAAAACTGACCTGAATGAAAAAAAGACAGTAGATTTGGTCTAGTTTGCTGAATAATCTGATTTATTAATTAAAAACATATGAAAGGGTTACTAATGAATACTTTTTTTCAAATTTTATTTGTATATTAAGATAAACTCACCTTCATTTTTTATGAAATATTGGAAAAAGTCATCCCACTTGATTTTCGGTGCCGTTAAGACAAACGCGTTGTAGAAATGGAAACAGGACACGATGACGTCTTTTGGATTGCGTGAGACGTAAATAACCTTTAAGAGAAGATACGAAATCCCAGTCAATACCTGATCTGACTTTTTATATCAATCAGATATTTGTTAGTATGGCAAAAACAACCAAAAGGATTCTTTACGGTATGGAAAATTAGCGATTAGAGGCAGCAGCTTATTCAAAACTTTCTTCTCTACAGTCATTGGCTGTATCCGCAGTGGCGTCTATGGGGTTGTACGGAGGGGATGTTAAATTCCCATTGCTGTTCCGGCCCATCGTGTTTCAACTGGAGCGCTAAACAGTGGCGTATCTAGGGGTTCGCAGGAAGCGCACGCCCCACCAAAATTACTCGTGTCCCCCTCCCAGTCGCCCATTCCCAACAAAAATTACTTGCAAGTAATTAAAAATAACCTAAAATCACATTATTTTGCGAGTTAGCACCTCTAAACTGATCATCGACTCCCACTTCACCTTCGCCTCCCCCATCAGCACCCCCATATCAAGACTTCTAGATACGCCACTGGCGCTAAACTACAAGTTCCAATAGCGCTTCGTCTTTTGGATAAGACGTTGGTCTAGTGTGCAATATGGTCCATGCACTAACCGGGCTAGAGTTGAATTCGAACATGCACCAATTAGCAGCGTGCACTGCGCTGTTATTTTCAAGAATAATATTATTTATGATTATCATTTGCTCTGACCTTTGGAGTCTGTTTTAGGACACCAGGAGGGATAAGTTGATGCGGAAAATGAGTTTTGATGAGCCTACGAGATGTCTTTTCGTCGAGGTCCATGTAGCGTGGTCTTTTGTCAAATGAAAAGACGCAGTCAATAAAGGGAACACGGTCATCCAAAGACGTCTGTTTAATTGATTCGAGGTCTCCATCGGCACACACTGCAGAAACAATTTCTTGCATCCATGTTGTGCCTGGAATTTTGAACAGAACGTCAGATTTTAAGCGGGTGAACCCTAGATTGGATTGTATTTATTCGGTGTGAAACACCAAGGATAACCCACGGTAATTCGAAGACGTATTTGCAGAAAATATTCATAGAACTTATACATTGTAGATGTGTTTTTCTTTTCAATTTATAGCACAATATAGAGAAAATATATTTTGTTATGTGTTGCCAATACTTAATTGTTTTACTTGAGTAAATGCCATGCTTTTGGCAAAAAAAATATATACGTTTGAATTATAAACCAGCTTTATGGTTCAAAAGTGTTAATGTATTCCGGTTTTTGTTCTAGTTAGGCCTACACTAATTACAAAGGCAAGCAAACTGTAATATTGGGTAAGTCATAACATAATTTAATTAATCCAGCAAACAAAACATAAATGGAGCTTCATATCTGATATCGTGCAGTACTGTTTTATCATACTATTGTGCCTATACTTTTATTAATATACGAGATTGGTGGATCTGCTGCTGATTGATACTGTATACTTATACAGGCCTTATACGATTTGTTATATTTATACCTGATTTAGGATATGTTACAACCCAAACGTCGTCGTCTCTGACTTTGAATGTCTTCATCACCTCTAAGATTTCTTTAGGTGTTGAATAATCGAGAGTGAATCCACTTTCTTTGTCAAACCATGTTATCGTTTCCATGATGGCCGTACCTAAGAGTGTAGAATTTAAGAATAAATTAGGGAAAATGTTTGTGCTCATTGTGTCTCGCTTGTGTCCTCATTGGTTTGTCTCGAGTACCTAGAAAATTTCGAATGCCCGAAGAAGGCCTGATTACCAGTTGCGGCATTATGAAATTCTCCCCAGGGAGCTTATTATTGTATGCGTGACTCAATAAATTTGAAGCGCATAGAAACCTTGCTGGCATGAAGCGCTTCTACCAGGTGTTGGGAAGGACAAGGGGGGGGGGGGGGGGGAGAGCCGCGGCTCCCACGGCTCCCCCCTCCCTGGATACGTCCCTGCAGTGGGCTGGAATTTCTTCGTTGTGTATCTCGCTTGTGTCCTCAATGGTTTGTCTCGAGTACCTAGAAAATTTCGAATGCCCGAAGAAGGCTTGATTACCAGCTGCGGCATTATGAAATTCTCCCCAGGGAGCTTATTATTGTATGCGTGACTCAATAAATTTGAAGCGCATAGAAACCTTGCTGGCATGAAGCGCTTCTACCAGGTGTTGCGCTAGCGGGGGGGGGGGGGCAGCGCTTCCCCCCACCCCGGTCGGGGAGAAAAAGTACAATTCGTCGGGGAGAAAAATATTATATGTATTTCTACATATTAGTAGACTCTAATCGAATAAAACAAGCCTTTAAACCCCTAAATTGTCAAAATTTTCGGGGGCTTTGCCCCCTGGACAACTTTGGAAACCTTTTAATCGAAGCTCGCCCACTTTTGCTTTCGTCGGAGAAATCTGACCCCTCGTCGGGGGAATCAGGCCCCCCCCCCCACCTCGGGGACCCCGGCGCACTGTCGGGCAAATCCTGGCGCCACCACTAGCTTCGCTTCTACATTATACATTATTATCTACTTGGCGTTGCAAATGTTTGAATAGTCACCGGATCCGATCGAACGAGAATGTGTAGGTGTCCGATACCTGATGTACGGCGGTGAAAGTGTATAGCCAAAACCTGGACAAACCCTCGTGATTTTTTATAAGAATAAACTTTCTGTGGCGTAAGAATTCAGCGCATAGTTTTTTAAGGAAAAATACCGGGTCTCGTATCTCAGTCGCCATTGAATGTAGCTAACACTAGGCCTACGTTAATTGATATTGGCAAACTATCAAATGCAAATAATAGAGACCTGCGAGATTGAATAATAAAACAACACAATAATAAAGAAAGTACTGTACTTACGTGTGATATTTTCACTGAAAGGTGTTATCCGTATGCCTATGAAGAAAAATCAGAAAAAACACAAATTTCTTTCTGATATTGATTAACAGTACAAATGTTTTTAATGTCACGCAGTCAAGTCCCAGTGGAAGTGGCCTTTAGGTACGTTTGAAAATCAAGGCTACAGTAAATCGTTTGGTGGGAGGACTATTATTAGCTTCGGGTGTATTAGCGATTAATGTAAGACGGATTTATGGACAAAAGGCGTGGTATTGTAGGCCTAATGGACATACCCAACCAAATGTAGTAGCCTAGGCAGCCGCCTGATTTAATTTGTCTATGTTTGAATTATCAGGTCTGTTTGTTTTAGAGAGCAGCATATCTTGTAGTCGTCTAAACTTGGTGGAGCCATTGTGCTGAGCCTCGGGAATCCGTTCACTCATACATATCAATTGCTCCAATAGGATTCGAATTTTCAACAAAAGCCTCAGTGGTCCAGAATGGAAACCACATTATTATATAGCAGGTGCTTCGGGTTCGAATCCCCGTTGAGGAAATTTACACTCGCAGATTCATCTTATTTACCGACACTTTCTATATTTTCATAATGAATCCAAGTGATAACTGATTATATTATTCAAAATTCATTTAATACCACATCTCATTGTCGAATAGGTAGTGCAGGCCTAAATGTTAAACATAGTAACATAATGTGCATTTATAAGTGTAGTTTATATAGCCTACAACGAAGCAATGTGCACGAATGTGCGGCAACAATTTAGGTTTTTATTTTTTTTTTTTTGTCCTTTAATTTTATATTTCATTGCTACCTACAGTAATTATTGTTTTAATCAGCACCATATGGTAGATCAATTGTATGCTTTGTCAATTTAATTATTGTATATTTACTTTCATTGCATTATGATGTATCCTGATTAATCATGTTGCATAATGCTGGTTGTAGCCACTGTGTGTGCGCTGAACCCTGTCTCTTATACACATCTAGATGTGTATAAGAGACAGATACAATACTGTAGAGCATATATAGTATATTCATAGGTCTATATATTTACTATAGAAATGCACGAAAATGAAGGTCTATAGTGTATCGTGCAACATAGGCCGATATTAATATAGTAGGTGTCAGATAATTGAAGTTCAATTTTATGTGGGTAAGAGCAAAGAAAACATGAAATTTAGACTCAGGTAATCATAGAAGCACTATAACATGCCACCATAATTAAACTATGTTAGTATTTTAGCAGGCATATGTGATATAATTGATTCTTTTTACGGGCAAACTTGATGTATTTACTTAGGCCTAGAGTAGAGTAATACTCACGTTAAAAACGTTTCCCTGACGAAGAAAAATGACCTGAATGCCTGTAGCTGTAAGGTTGATCGATTCAGCAAGCGGCCTGTGAATAATTGCATACAGTATTGAACATTATGAACGTCCCTGGGACGCACTCAAAAACACCATCATAATTACTTCCTGAATTCATATTTGCATTAGGTCTATGCAAGAACATCGGCGAGACTGCTGAATGCTGCCGAAGAAGCGCCAAGTGGCAAATATTTCTTTTGTTACACAGTGTTATGATGTTATGCAAACCTTTTCCTTGACTCTTAATTACTACTAAATTACATTCGGGGCTAATTGGTCATTAAGGAAGGTAATTTATTAGTATGACGTATAAGCACTAGCAAAAGCCGACAAACCAACACTTCACTATCGTCTGTTAATATTAGATTCAGTAATCAGGACAAATTGTTAAAAAGAATCTCACTGTAACGTTGGGACATATAGGCATAGAAAATGCATTAAATAGGCTCATTTTGAAGCAATGTAGTAGGCCTACAAAGAAGGCCTACTAGGTTTGCAGAGGTGTAGGTCTATTAACCGATGTTCGTAGGCCTACTGTACGTGTGCACATCCTCGACACTTAAAAAACAAGGATCCACTCATTGAAGGGCTACCCACCCACCTCTTGTGGGGGTGTGGCAGTCTCAATTTTCGCAGTATGAAGACTTGACGAGTTTGATTTCAGATTCGTGGGTGAGAGCTGCTAGCTCAGTCGGCTAACTGGTTGTAGCCACTGTGTGTGCGCTGAACCGTTGAGATCTCTAGGTCCCTGGTTCAATTCACATCGCTGCTCTCCTTGTGTTTTAGCTGGAGGGCTGAAATGCAGGTTTCAAAATCTCACCCGTCTTTCGGATGAGATGTTTAAGCCGTTGGTCCTGTGTACAAAATGGCCCATGTGCACGTTAAATAACACAGTACACTCTTCGGAAAAGAGTATGGGATTGTCTCCTGGTGTAGGCCTACTGCAGCCCAATTCACCACCAGAAGGTCCCCACTGGAAATAAGTCTGAGGAGGACTTTCGTGGGTTATCCTTGGTGTGTATCACCCGGAAGAAATCAAATCCAGTTCAACATTAAATATCTGCCAGTGCTTCATGTTGAACTTATAATAGATATTTTCATATTATTTCATCAACATTAAATTAGGGTTCCGTGTTCACTCGTGGGGTCCAAATGCAAAGGCCTCCTATCTGTGGCTCGAATGCTTTTTAATTCTGATTAAATGGCTGCTTGTTCTATTGCTATAGGCAACCATAATTACATTAGATCGTCACGTATTCTGAGGATTCTAGTAGTAGGCCTACATATTGCAAGTGCCACCAAGATTGGATACAGCTGGCCCTCGGACCCCAGTTACAGCAAGCGATGCTGCCCTGGGGGGCCACAGGGCACTTTCAGCAGTCTTAAACACTGTACTGGTCTCGAATTAGAGAGGCCTCTGTATTGCATCTATATCTACTGACCATAGATTTATAAATAAATTACAGCAAACGTAGATACAGGCTACCATGAGATTTAAATAATAATGGAGGAACTTATACTACAGGTACATTGAGATAAGCCTAAGTAAATTGAGAGGCATACTAGGCCTTGCATTAATCATAGATTAATACAAATTGATATCTTCCTTCATTGATTGAGCAAAGGTTGGCCTACTAATAAACTGTTATTGATGTCTTACAGGCCGTATTTGGATATAGTCATGCCTGATAAAACAAGCCTCAATAATAATTATTTAAAAAAACAATAGCATATATTTTTATAATCATGATTTTCTATTACATAGTAACTTTTGAAAAATATAAGAAACGTAATACCTTCACGATATATATCTGCAACTATAGAAAA